ACATAGGTGTGAATGCCTATGCGATCCTATTCTAATGCGGACCCAAAAAAGGGTCCTGCACGTTTATGGTGCCGGTGCGGTGCAAATAGAGCCATACAAAATGTATGACTCCAATCACACCGCACACAAATTGCATGTGATTTGCACACGAATGCGGTGTGGTTCCTGTGCCAATCACATGTGATATACTGCACCACACACATGTGAACCCAGGCTAAAGGTGGAAAAAGTTCTGAAATGATTTATCTTTGTCTCATTTGTTTACATCACAGAAACCTGACATTTTAATGGGGGGGGGGGGGGGTGTAGACAATCAGCTTTTAACTTCATATCCAATATATATATATATATATATATATATATATATATATGTGTGTATAATATACAAATATGGCTGCTATCTAATAAATTGACTTAATACAGTAGTGCTGATATCAACATACAAATTAATTGGTCATAGCATATATTAACCGCTTACCAGCCGCCGTATGGCAGATATACTGCTACACGGCGGCATTGGTGCACAAAATCACGTGTATATATATATATATATATATGTGACTTTACATTTCCGGATAGGGGGCACGCATGAGCTGTGCTGCCATTCGTGGCCGTGAATGTCAATGTCAATGTGGGTCCCAGCAGGTGATTACTGCTGGCGCTTGGTGATTACCGACAAGCACCGATGGAGAAGAACACTGTTTTGTTTACAAACAGTCTTCCTCCTTGTCAGCTCGGGCACACTGCTTGGGATGGCTGTGCACATCATGATCAGTGTGCTTACAGTGAAGCACACACCCCCCATTCCCTAGTAAAACACTCCCTACACACAGTTAACCCTTTGATCGCCCCTCACATTAACCCCTTCCTGCCCAGTGTCATTAGTACAGTGTCAGTGTGTTTTTTTTCAGCACAGATCACTGTATTGGTGTCACTGGGGATGGGAAAAAAAAAAAAGAAGCTTAGTCTGTATTGCTAGAGAGTTTTTTTTCTTTGAGAGGGTGCATGTGATCAGCATAGGGACAATCAGCACTGTCCAGACAGAGTCAGGGATCATGCAGCCTCATAGGACAGCCAGAAAAGAATAAAAAACTCCTCTTGCAAGATCAACCTGTGCTCAGCTGGACATGATAGAAGTCACAAGACTGATATATACTACTAATTATAAAAGGTAATTAGCAGTTTATATTTACTACAATAATTGCATTTCCATGTAGTGTGTACTTTGGAAGACCAGATATAGTGAATTCAGGGTCATAGGTTTAGGAACATTTTAAGACCTTCTCCATATACTCTCCATTTGTCACTGAAAAAAGGTGATAGGAAATCTCAATTTTCACAGATGTCACCAGACAAGGACAACTGTCTAAAGCTTACCATACACATTACTAATTGATCATACAATCTTTGTCTTACATTTACTAAATGTACTTGTGTATACAATATGAGAACCTACCTAAACTGGTTATTTAAATTGGGCCCAAATTTCCCTAAATACAGGGATGCATGCTGTTGTGAAATTGCCAGACCCTATTTTTTAAAATGTTTTTCTGGTTCCTTATCTTTATTCTCTTCAGCTTCCTAGTTTTCCCTTAAGGCAGAGGTTACGTAGCCCTGATAGCACAGATAACCCTTGGGAAGACAACTTATATTGCAACCAAAAGCTTCTCTGCCATAAGACTAATGTTTTGGTTTTTTTTCCCATTTTAGCTCCGCTTCACTTTGCTTTAGAACTGTAAAGTGTTTAGTATACTACCAATATGTTGTATCATCCCTGGAATTGAACTGTGTTCTGCCATTTATGCATACTTGTGTAAAGATTTTCCAGATAATCATTTAAGCTGTGTATTCTTTTCCTGGTGGAAAGGAACAAAATAAAATCCAGGGAAAAAAACCTACACCTTTTCATGACATCAGTGAAGACTACTATGTTTGTGTCAGAGGCGGAACTAGAACCTTCAGGGCCCCATTGCAAGAAACCATGAAGGGCCCACTGACGTCAGGCCCTTCCCACTGATCCCGGGGACCTTTATTACTAATGTCATGGGGGACCTTATTACAGTTCCGCAGCAGGACCCTTTCACATGTTCTGCAGCAGGCCCCCTTCCTGCCATCCTGGGTAGGGTTTCAAGCCAAACCTGAACACTTTAGTGGTGCACAATTTTTTTTTTTCGTTTTGTTTTTGTAGTAATACACTATACATAAATTTTGTCATTAAATAACATTTGTAAACATATAGAATTAATCACAGGAGTCCCCTTTTCATCAGAGTCCACAAAGTTCACCCTTTACATCGGAATCCACAGAGTTCTCCCTTTACACTTGAAGCTGCAGAATTCCCCCTTTACCACATCCATCTTCCCCCTTTACCAATCCACAGAGGTTACGTACACTCTGCAGACTCTGATGTAAGGGAGAACTCTGGGGACTCTGATTTAAGAAGGAACACTGAGAACTCTGATGTAAGGCGCGGCCTCTGATGTAAGGAGGAACACTGCAGACTCTGGTGTAAAGGGGAACTCTGATATAAGGAGGTCTCTGGTAACCAGAGTCTCCACTTACATCAGGGTTCCCACAGCCTCCCTTACATCAGAGTCTGCAGAGTTCCCCCTTACATCTGAATCCACAGAATTTCCACTTACACTATAAGGGAGAGTTCTGTAGACTCTAACGTAAAGGGGAACGTTGATGTAAGGGGTGATCTGGGAACCCTGATTTAAGGGGAGCTCTGATGTAAAGGGGGAATGCTGTTGACTCTGGTGTAAAGGGGAACTCTGATGTAAGGAAGTCACCACTCACCAAAGCCCCCATTTACATCAGAGTCCACAGAGCACCCCTTACATCTGAACCCTCCTTACCTTAGTGTAGAAGCAGGAGACAGAAGGGAGAGAGGGGGAGATTTCAGTGACAGTGGATAGATGGTGAGCTCACTCACCCACGGAGGGGGGTTCAGGCAGTCTGTATCTTTCCTTGATGTAGTTCCTGGCTGCTGGGCTTCAGATTTCCTGCCACACCCCCTTTCTGAGACACAGCAATGCTGGGGATTGGAGTTTGGGTGGGCAGACAAAGGAGGAGAAGCAGATCAGCTCTTTCTCTCTCCTCTCCCATCCGTGCAGGGCAGGGGCAGGGAAGGGAGGAGAGGCTGAGTGTGGGCACTGTGATAGAGAGTATAAATGACACTCAGTAACCCAGCTGGAGAACAAGAGTCTGGGCTTTTTGGGCCTTCTACAGTGGCAGAACAGCAGGACAAGTACAACCTTTGCTACCCTGGTAGTTCTGCTACTTGTTTGTGTATACTGTTTTGCTAACTTAACTCCAATTTGTAAATGTAGAATTGTATTTTTTAAGTTTGTCTTTTTTCCAGTTGCCAGCAAGCTATACAAACTTTAACCCAGGATAATGTTTGTATTATAACATTCCTACCCTTGCTTTTACTGTTTCCAGAACAACAACGTATGCAAAGTAACAAAGTAGAACTTTGGAAGGTTGCCAGGTACATCAGATCAAAGTTAATGGTTATGAAATCTGGAAGGACAGAACATCACTTGCTTATTGTGACAGTCTTTTTTCTTATATTCTTTTTCACTGCACCTATACTTTAAGTTTCATTTATTATTCCATGGGCATAGAATAATAAATTAACTTCTACCATTTAACAAAATATTGTCACCAAGGGGATTCATTCTATAGCAAACAGGAAAAGCTAAAAAGCTGAGCAGTATAAAACATAAAGTGAATTATTTCCTTGTTGAATTGAATATTTAATTTTGAGTATTTTATAATTTATAAGTTCTGTTCTCTTTAGAACCTACAACACCTTTTCAAAATATAACAGACAAAAACAAACCAGAACAAGAGAAAATATAGATAAACTACATAACTATATGTAAAATATTATAATTTCCTTGAATACATGTAGTGCCATGGTTAGTATTAATAAGGCAACTACTTATATTGCAAATAATAACATTATTATTTTTATTTATTATCTAATATGGTTTTTCCCTACAATTTTGTAAAAAATGGACAAAGACTTCTGAGAAAAAAGGAATACAGCAATTAAATAATGGTGACACTGAAAAAGAAATTATACTTCCTTTGGGCAAGTTCCTTTCCCAGTTTCCTTAGTTCAAAGAAAATGTTAAAAAGGCAATGTCTCAGAGTTCAAACTGACCCTATTTATATGGATTGATGAAGCAACCTGCATGGGTTTCTAAGGGTTATTTATAAAACCCTGAAACCAAACATAAAGTTACTGTATATTAAACTCTATTTTTTTAAAACATTTAACTGTCTTTGCCTACATTGTATGCCTCTCTCCTTTTTTAAGCTTTCCTTTTTAGCTGTTCCTGCCAGTCCCATGATCACAACCCCCACTTACCTGTACTCGGGTCTCTCCTGTGTCTATTTAACATCTTGGGGTTTATTTACTAAAGCTGGAGAGTCCAAAATCAGACTCCCTTCTGCATAGAAACCAATCAGCTTCTAACCTCAGCTTGTTCAATGAAGCTTTAGCAATGAAACCTGGAAGCTGATTGGTTTCTATGCAGAACGGAGTCTGATTTTGGACTCTCCAGCTTTAGTAAATAAACCCCCATGTGTCCATTTGACATTCTGCAAGCAGTATTTTGGCAAGGTGTTACATTTTAAAACAAATATTATCTTTGCAAATACTGTAAAAGAGCTCTATTTATTTCTCACACATATGTATAACATAGCTGTAACGTTTCAGGCATTCCTGTCCTCTCTCACCTGCTGTGATATTTCTATGTGTGAGCAATATAATTTTTTTCTTTTTTCGTGCTGCAACCCCTTTTGCTTTTTGTTTATTTAAGGTGGTCATGGGGACCTATTTGGTTGTGTGTGTGTGTGTGTATATATATATATATATATATATATATATATATATATATATATATACACAAACAAACATACACAGTTACTTGGCATTTTGCTAACTTTTTCATCATTATTTTTATCTTTCTATATATTAGTTCATTTTCAATTTTATTTTACAGTGGGACATAGTCTGTGACAATGATTGGAAGGCACCACTGACAACATCTTTATTTTTTGCTGGCGTTCTTACAGGCTCATTTGTTTCTGGGCAGCTCTCTGACAGGTAATCTTATTAGCTTTTCTTGGAATGTAATATGCAATTGTGATTCTTAAAGAGAACATCCATGTACAGTATATATTTTTTTATTTAATTACATTTTCTTTCTTTGGCTGTGCTTCATGGATGATGCACAGGTTAGGATATAATTTCTTTGGCCATGCAGTAAGTAAACAAAACTTGTGTAACGCTACCCCCCACAGAGGCCGCTTGATAATGCTTGTCTCCAGTAGTTACCCTGACCTTGCAAGCCTCCCAACACCTCGGACACTCTGGGTTCAGACATATTAGACTAATGCAAAAGACACAATTCTTTAGTAACACCTCTATAGTACTGCTCTCTATCTCGGTGTGTGGTGTCTCCAGCCAGGAAACACACGGCTTCTGTCACCTTCCTGCACGGATCAGGTGATTCTGGTCAAGGACTCAGATCATGGATAAGGGAAGTCTTGAAGAAAGATCTGGCCTTTAAGCACATAAAAGTTATTTTTCCAACAGTTCCAGCCCATGAGTGGATACCTGTACAGAGCCCATTCCAGAGTGAGGCCTTAGGTGCTGCAAACTGCCCAGGGGAAGGGGATCCTTAATGGTTTGTGACCAGACCAGGCTGATCCAGTTCTGAAGGAGATCTTCAGCAGACATCTTTGAGATTTACATATGCTTATATGCACATAAAGGTTGAGCATCTGGTGAGTGCGTATTCCTAACATTTTCACAGCACGTCACCAGGATGTTGTAAGGAGCACTTATCTGAGATCCCTTCAGATGGATCATCACTTCTAAGCACTTTATATGTGAACTGTTTTCAGGATTGTGTATGGTTATGAACACTCAGCACATCAATAGTGCTCACTAATATCACCTTAAGATTTGCATTTTGCACTTTTGTCACTTTATATCCACATCTGGGTTTAGTGCAAGTTATGTGTATGCATACATTTGAATTTTGTCTTTAGGGATTCCAGCGCTGCACCCCTTTGTTTTTTCTTGACCTCTATAGTAGACTTGTTTAAAAGAGAGGGCTACAGGAATAATGGGTTTAGGATATCCAACCCCATTTAGCGCATAAAAGCAGAACACTGGCAAAATAGGAATAATAAATTAGCAACATTTAACAGGTTATACAGTCATGAATAGTAAGCTTCAACTATGTAATTGCAACACCTGCAGCAAGAGGGGGAAGAAAAGACTTGTTGACTTATCAGCTCCCTCCTTGTCACCGCTGCCGCAATGGGGCCTGCAGAGAATTATGTAAATGCATACTCTGGCATAAATAGATGTAAGTACCCTAAGTTGAATAGCAATAGCCTTAGAAGAGGAAAAGTTCCTTTAAGTAGAGATTGCAACTTGGGTCCTGCAATGTTTAAAGTTATTAATATGGTGGTATCTGCTGTCATCTGCTAGCAATGGTGGGGCCCATAATCATTAGTGAATAAAGGTAATTCAACACAGTTAAACAGATAAGCTGTAGTGCTGCTCAAAGCAAAGGTATCCTGTAGGGGTGTCTGCATGCAGTGTCTCTAGAGTGATGGCAGAAAGAAGTTGGGCATCTGCCCGCTCCAACAATCCTATAGACAGCAAGGCCTGCTAGGAACAAGAGTTTTTGCCCAGACTCTTGGCTGTTTGCAGGGATGTATAGAATTACTGTCTGATGACCTGACGAACAGAGATGTCTGTGTGAATACAGGACAGTGACAGTCCCGATACAGAGAAGCTGATTGTGACCCCGGGGTGGCGATCTGCATCACTGATGTGCAGAATCCTGTAGCAGTAGGGTAGCAATCTGTCTCTGGAGGAGAGCTGCAGTATTCTGTGTTCAGAGAGCCAATCCCTTGCCACAGATTATTTCTACTCTCCCAGCATCCTGCTCGGTTGCCAGCTCTCTGTAGTTGTATCTCATTCAGTACTGAGGAATGCAGTATGTATTGGCTATAGGACTACAGGTCCCAAGATCATCTGCTGCCAGAAAAACTGAATCCACTCTGCTAACAGGAAGTGATGTAGAGGTCCCAGCACTGGCACTAGGGGGAAAAAGATTAATCACAGTCTCATATGTAAAAGTCCCTGAATGGCTTAATGATATAGCAGGCACCTGGCTACATCTGATAAATAAGTAGAGACATTAATAGAAAGTAAAGTAGAATGAGTAGATTTAAAAGAGAAAAGACTGCAAATAGCAGTGTACATATATATTATATATATATATACAGTTGTGTTCAAAATAATAGCAGTCAGACATCACTAACCTGATCAATCACTGTTTTTGGTAGAAATGATATTTCTACATGGCAAATAATTTGCTAGCAGGTGTAGTAGAGTAATAGAAATCCAACAGACCCAACAGTCATGACATGCATGCTGCTGATTCTGTGTAATTGAATCACTAATTGAAAGGGGCATGTTCAAAATAATAGCAGTGTGTAGTTCAATTAGTGAGGTCATTCATTCTTTGAAAAACAGGTGGCAATTATTGCCCTTATTTAAGGAAGGAAGGCAGCAAATGTTGTACATGCTGGTTACAGTGCATTTCTCTCTGAAATTCTGAGGAAAATGGATCATTCAACATCAAAGTTGATTGTTGATTGGAAAGGGGAAAACATATAACGATGTGCAGAAAATGATAGGCTGCTCAGCTAAAATGATCACAAATGCTTTAAAATGGCAACTAAAACCTAAAAGACGTGGAAGAAAGCGAAAAGCTGCCTTTCAAATGGATAGAAGAATAGCCAAAATGGCAAGGACTCAGACAACAATCAGCTCCAGGAAGATCAAAGAAGGTCTAAAGTTACCTGTGAGTACTGTTACAATTAGAAGACACCTATGTGAAGCCAAGCTATCTGCAAGAAGCCCCCGCAAAGTCCCACTGTTGAAAAAAAGACGTGCTGAAGAGGTTACAATTTGCCAAAGAGCACATTGACTGGCCTAAAGTGAAATGGCACAACATTTTGTGGACTGATGAAAGTAAGATTGTTCTCTTTGGGTCTAGTGGCCGGAGACAGTTTGTCAGATGACCCCCAAACACTGAATTCAAGCCACAGTACACTGTGAAGACAGTGAAGCATGGTTGCGCAAGCATACCAGGAATCTATGTTGGGCATTTATCGCATACCAGGAATCATGGATCAGTTTGAATACATCAGAATACTTGAAGAGGTCATGCTGCCTTATGCTGTAGAGGAAATGCCCTTGAAATGGGTGTTCCAACAAGACAACGACCCCAAACACACCAGTAAACGTGCAACATCTTGGTTCCAGACCAACAAGATTGACGTTATGGAGTGGCCAGCCCAATCCCCGGATCTTAATCCAATAGAAAACTTGTGGGGGTAACATCAAAAATGCAGTTTCTGAGGCAAAACCAAGAAATAGAGAACTGTGGAATGTAGTCCAATCATCCTGGGCTGGAATACCTGTTCACAGGTGCCAGAAGTTGGTTGACTCCATGCAACACAGATGTACAGCAGTTCTCAGAAACAGTGCTTATACAACTAAATATTAATTAAGTGATTCAAAGGAAAGCAAAATCTTCAAACATTTTTCAGTTTATATAGGAATGTTTGAGTTTGTAAAGAGAATACAAACACTGCTATTTTTTTTTTGAACAGTCTAATATTCAATTTTCTTCAATTTTTTTTTTAGAGGAACAACACAAATTTGATATATTTTTCTTCATGTTTTGATTTGTAATAGAATGTGTAATGTTCCCAATGCATTTGTGTGTATGGAAATAAAAGCTATTAGAAGGATTTTGAGCTTTATTCCCTTTTTTCAACACACTGCTATTATTTTGAACACAACTGTATATGTGATCAGGCTGTGGAAAAGTCTCACACATGTGGTATATACCATACTCAGAAGGATTAGCAGAATGTATTTTGGGGTGTAGTGAATATAGTGAATGTTTGAGTTTGTAAAGGAGAATACAAACACTGCTATTTTTTTGAACAGTCTAATGTTCAATTTTGTTCAATTTTTGTAGAGGAACAACACAAATTTGATCTATTTTTCTTCATGTTTTGATTTGGAATAGAATATGTAGTGTTCCCAATACATTTGTGTGTATGGAAATAAAAGCTATTAGAAGGATTTTGAGCGTTATTCGCTTTTTTCAAACACTGCTATTATTTTGAACACAACTGTGTGTATATATATATATATATATATATATATATAAATAACTTTATTGCAAAAAGTATTGGGACGCTTACCTTTACACACACATGACTTTAATGGCATCCCAGTCTTAATCCGTAGGGTTCAATATTGAGTTGGCCCACCCTTTGCAGCTATAACAGCTTCAACTCTTCTGGGAAGGCTGTCCACAAGGTTTAGGAGTGTGTCTATGGGAATGTCTGACCATTCTTCAAGAAGCGCATTTGTAAGGTCAGGCACTGATGTTGAACGAGAAGGCCTGGCTTGCAGTGTCCACTTTAATTCATCCCAAAGGTGTTCTATAAGGTTGAGGTCAGGACTATGTGCACTGGAACTAAGGGGCCAAGCCCAACCCTTGAAAATCAACCCCACATCATAATCCCCCCCTACCAAACTTTACACTTGGCACAATGCAGTCAGGCAAACAACTGCCAAACCCAGACACATCCTTTGGATTACCAGACGGAGAAGGGTGATTCGTCACTCCAGAGAACACTTCTGCACTGCTCTAGAGTCCAGTGGCAATGTGCTTTACACCACTGCATTGCACTTGATGATGTAAGGCTTGGATGCAGCTGCTCAGCCATGGAAATCCATTCCATGAAGCTCTCTATGCACTGTTGTTGTGCTAATTTGAAGGCTACACAAAATTTGGAGGTCTTTAGCTATTGACTCTGCAGACAGTTGGTGACTTCTGTGCACTGTGTGCTTCATTATGCTCTGACCTCGCTCTGTCATTATATGTGACCCACCACTTTGTGGCTGAGTTGATGTTGTTCCCAGTTGCTTCCACTTTATAACAATACCACTAACAGTTGACCGTGGTATATTTAGTAGCAAGGAGATCTCACGGATGGACTTATTGTACAGTTCGCAACCTATCACAGTACCACGCTTGAATTCACTGAGCTCCTGAGAGCGACCCATTCTTTCACAAATGTTTGTAGAAGCAGTCTGCATGCCTAGGTGCCTGATTTTGTATGCCTGTGGCCATGGAGGTGATTGGAACATCAGAATCCAATGATTTGGAGGGCTGTCCCAATACTTTTAGCAATATAATGTGTGTGTGCTTATGTGTGTATGTGTGTATATATATATATATATATATATATATATATATATATATATTAGAAGCCCTGTGGGCACAGAGTATCGATTATATACAGCTGATGTGTAATGTTTCCATAGGAGGCAGCCCATCTTTCCCAAAGTTGCATCCCACCGAAATAATGGCTGTCTACTAGAAAAAGTGCCTATATTGCTTCTTGAGTTTTCTGTTGATTTCTGTGTGTAAATCTGGGCCTTTCTATTCAACATGGAGTTTAGGTCCCACTTGTTTACATTGTGTGTACAGTATATACATTGTATGTATGTGTTAAACTGCTGTTTAAAACAAGTTTTTTTTTTTCACTTTTATGTAGAATGGAGATATGTTAGCTCCTCTGTCAGATTGTTATTGTCTGTAATCTCACTTGTAAGAACGCCATACACTTCCTGTACTAGTGAGCAGCTATCACCAGCACAGGAAGTCAAAGATCTCCAACACAGCACACAGAAAACAGTAACATTTTCAGAGGTTTTACTCATTCCCAACTCTGCTACAAATATTCGTTTCATTGTTGCCTGTATCCTTGCTGGAGACCTCTTTCTCAGTTCCCTTCCACTGGTTGCCTGTCACTGAGGGGAAACCTCCCAAACAAGGACACAGATAGCAATAACACCCTAGGAAAGAAGTTTGGAAGGGTGGCACTGGAACTTTACAGTAATCCTAATGCTATAAGGGGTATGAAGGTATTCAACTGAGATGTCTGGATTCTTGGGGCTCCACGCCAAAAGACCACCACAATCTCCCTAATTTGTGACTGACCAAATCTATGGTTGAACTGCCACACCAATCTGATTGTCCATATTTATTTCAAGGTAAGATAAAAGTCTGTAAAGTTTGTTTTATCTTACTTTGGAATACATCTATAAATACTGTAGAGCAGTGGTCTCCAAACTGTGGCCCAGGGGCCGGATGCTGCCCTTTGCTTGCTTTTATCTGGCCATCGGAGCACTGTTTCATCCACTACACCAACAACAGGGCATAATTCCTCCCAATGACACCAATGATGGGGCACAATTCCTCCGAATGACACCAACGATGCGGCACAGTTTCTTCCAATGACAATAACTATGGGGCCAGTGACACCAATGATGGGGCACAATTCCTCCCAATGCTGCCCATTGCTTGCTTTTATCTGGCCCGTGGAGCACTGTCATCCACTGACACCAACAATGGGGCACAATTCCTCCCAATGACACCAAATGGGGCATGATTCCTCTCAATGACAGCAACAATGGGGCACGATTCCTCCCAATGACAACAGCGATGGATCACAATTTCTCTCACTGACACAAACAATGGAGCACAATTCCTCTCATTGACACCAATGATGGGGCATTGTTTACTCCCACTGATGTCGGTGGATTTTCTACTCCTAATGTCCAGAGTCCAGCCCTCTTCAAAGTCTGAAAGACCATATACTGGCCACTTGTATAGAAAGTTTGGAAAGCCTTGTTGTAGATGATCAGATTTTGGTGTGGTGTTTCAATCTCAGATTAAAAACCTGTCATCTGTCACTTGTAAACCTTCCCTACTGACCAACACAAGCCGACAAACAAATAAGGAAATATTTAGCTGGAATTCCACATGGAGCTTGCTACCCAGACAGCAAAGAAGCATGGAAAACTGCACAGTAACTGAAAAAATTTAAATGATAAAGCATTAAAAGTATTATTGAAACACACAATTTTTGCAGTAATGATAATTATAATATAATAACAAAACTGTAAACATGACATATTGTTTCATTGTTACAATGGTAATCGTGGTAAAAGTGAGGTTATATTGTACAGTGTTTGGGTACAGGATATCCCAGAAAAGTATTTCTGGTTCGTTTGATTGGTCATTGCTGGGATTCACACTGTCACTAAGCAAGTAATTATAGCAGACCCTCCCAATTAGCACATAGGAGGAAGTGTCTGGAATACATGTTCTGTTTCCACAAAAAGAGAACCCCTAAGCCTCCGACTTTATGTCCAAATGCAAGGCTGTTCTGAAGGACAAAGTCTTATCAATGTCCCATGCATTCCCATTGGCCAGTGATTTGGTACATTATAATAATGAGCCAATGTATAGGAATTGGGATGGAGAGACAGGATTCAACACCACCAAGAAGTGTTGGTGCATCAGAAAGACATTTGGCGTAAGGCTTGGCACAAACTTGGTGGCTGCTGTTGGTACTGTATGTGCAGGTAGCTCTAGGTGCCTGCACTTTAACCCTGACAGCAGTCCCCTTTTCCCACTGACACAATTGCTTTTTAAAACTGTGCATAAGTGTTTATGGCTTTATAAATCAATATTAAGTTGTTATAGTTTGATCAAATGTCTTTGTTTTGATCCCATTTCTTATAGGTTTGGGAGAAAGAAGATCCTTTTTGCAACTATGGCAGTCCAGACTGGTTTTAGCATTGTACAAGTGTTTTCAAATAGCTGGGAGATGTTTACGGTTCTCTTCCTGATTGTCGGCATGGGACAGATTTCCAACTACGTTGCTGCTTTTATTCTGGGTTTGTTTCAAGTCTTTTTTTTATGTGTTATCAGTGCCATCCTGGGCAATTTTGTTTCTGTTTCAGGGTGCTGTGCAAACCAGGTTATATGTGTAAGTAACTGAGCACTAAAGTAACTGGTCAACTTTCTTGGACAGTGCATATAATGCCACAGAAAGCTATCAGAGACTGCAAACAGGAGATGGAAAAGCCTTTGGTCATGCTACAAGAGATAGTCAGAGACTGCAGACATATTATAGACCTGTATGGAGTCTGTGGACCTGCTTGAGGAGACAATCATAGACTGAGACAGCTAGAGATTACAGGTGAAACATGAAAAATTAGAATATCGTGCTAAAGTTCATTTATTTCAGTAAAAGGTGAAACTAATATATGAGATAGACTCATTACATGCAAAGCAAAATAGTTGAAGCTTTGATTTGTCATAATTGTGATGATTATGGCTTACAGCTCATGAAAAGCCCAAATCAACAATCTCAGAAAATTAGAATATTACATGCAATCAATAAAACAAGGATTGTACATAGAACAATATCAGTATAAGCATACATTTGTACTCAGTACTTGGTTTGGGCCCCTTTTGCAGCAATTACTGCCTCAATGCAGCAAGGCATGGAAGCTATCAGCCTGTGGCACTGCTGAGGTGTTATGGAAGACCAGGATGCTTCAATAGCGGCCTTCAGCTCTTCTGAATTGTTCAGGCTCATGTCTCTCATCTTTCTCTTGGCAATGCCCCATAGATTCTCTATGGGGTTCAGGTCAGGTGAGTTTGCTGGCCAATCAAGCACAGTAATCCCACGGTCATTGAACCAAGTTTTGGTGCTTTTGGCAGTGTGGGCAGGTGCCAAGTCCTGCTGGAAAATGAAGTCAGCATCCCCATAAAGCTCGTCTGCGGAAGAAAGCATGAAGTGCTCCAAAATCTCCTGGTAGACGGCAACGTTGACCCTGGACTTAATGAAGCACAGTGGACCAACACCAGCAGATGACATGGCTCCCCAAATCAACACAGACTGTGGAAACTTCACACTGGACTTCAAGCATCTTCCAGTGTGTGCCTCTCCATTCTTCTTCCGGTTTCCAAATGAGATGCAAAAGTTGCTCTCATCAGAAAAGAAGACTTTGGACCACTGAGCAACAGACCAGGTCTGTTTTTCTTTAGCTCAGGTAAGACGCTTCTGACGTTGTTTGTTGTTCAGGAGAGGCTTGAAAAGAGGAATACGACATTTAAAGCCCATGTCCAGAATCCGTCCGTGCGTGGTGGCTCTTGATGCAGCCTCAGTCCACTCCTTGTGAAAGTCCCCAACACTTTTGAATGGCCTTTTCCTGACAATCCTCTCCAGGCTGCGGTCATCCCTGCTGCTTTTGCACCTTTTTCTTCCACACTTTTCCCTTCCACATAACTTTCTATTAATGTGCTTTGATACAGCACTTTGGGAACATCCAACTTCTTTTGCAATTACCTTTTGAGGCTTTCCCTCCTTATGGAGGGTGTCAATGATGGTTTTCTGCACAACTGTCAGGTCAGCAGTCTTTCCCATGATTGTGAATCCTACTGAACCAGACTGAGAGACCATTTAAAGGCTCAGGAACCCTTTGCAGGTGTTATGGCTTAATTAGCTGATTAGAGTGGGACACTTTGAGCCGAGAATATTGCACCTTTTCACAATAATCTGATTTTCTGAGATTGTGGATTTGGGGTTTTCATGAGCTGTAACCATAATCATCACAATTATGACAAATCACGGCTTGAACTATCTTGATTTGCATGTAATGAGTCTATCTCATATATTAGTTTCACCTTTTAAGTTGCATTACTGAAAAAAAATGAACTTTTGCACAATATTCAAATTTTTCGAGTTTCACCTATAATGCTATCATTGCCCTTTTAGAGATCAATGCTTCCACATTTGTGCCCCCCTACAGCCCCTTACAAAATAACCTTTACCAGATAAGATGTTTCTCCCAGCAAAGAAAAAAGGGATAAACAGCACAGAAAAAGCAAAACAGAATGTAAGAAATAAACCAAACCACTTTTCACTAGAAACTAGTCTAAAGAATGGAAAATTAGCAGGCTACGGTTAGAACATTCTTTCTTTTGGTCAGTGGACAGAGATGAAAGCAGTCAGATCTGGTTTCAAGCCAAACTCCAGGAAAAAAATACATTTAAATAGTGCACTGTGTATAAATTACCGGAAAAAAAAATCAGGGAAAAAAAAAAATTTAAAACGTACACTGTGCATCAATTGCCGAAAAAAAGTCAGGAAAAAAATAAATTTAAATAGTGCACTGTACATCAATTACCATAAAAACTCCAGAAAAAAAAAATTTAATTTAAAAAGTGCACTGTACATCAATTACTGGAAAAAACTCCAGGAAAAAAAAAAAATACATAGTGCACTGTGCATTAATTACCAGAGAAAAACTAAAGGAAAAATATAAATTAAATTTAAATAGTGCACTGTGCATCAATTACCAGAAAAAAATTCCAAGGAAAAAAAATTATTTAAATAGTTCACTGTGCATTAACTACCGGAAAAAAACTCCAGGAAAATATATTAAATTTAAATAGTGTACTAAGCATCAATTACAGTACATCTCAGTCTTGATTCCAGATTTGGAATGGATCAAAGTCGCTGTTTCTCCTTTCAGTAAAGCTGGTATCCTTTCCTGGGGAACAGACATTTTTCCCCACTCCTTATCTTCTTGAGTATCTCCTGTCTCTGGAGCCTAGATAGGGTTCAGCAGCTGAAAGTGTTGACTCCACCAATAAGAGGTGTGCACATCAAGCAGGCAATGATGTAGACACCCAAAGATGGATCCCAGGAAGTAAAGAGAAGACAAAAGGCTTCAGTTACATTGGAAAGAAAATGTATGTGAACCCCTTGGAATAAATTGGTTTTCTGCAGTAATTTGCCATTAAGTGTGATAAAATGTCTCCATTGATAGACAGCTTATTGATTGATGGATGCCTTAACACTTTGAAACTGCGTTGTTTCCTTTCTAGCATTATGCAGCTCAACTGCATAGCAGAGCAATACAAAGCAGCATGCTTTCACATTACATCACAAACAGCACACAGTTAACCCTTTGATCGCCCCAGATGTTACCCTTCCTACCCAGTGTCATTAGTACAGTGTCAGTTGTTTTTATTAGCACTGAGCCCTGTATTAATGTCACTGGGGATGTCAGTGGCCATTAGTCAGTTAGTGTCAGAATGCCCGCTGCAGTCCCACAGTTCTCGTTATAAGTCGCTGATCGCCGCCATTACTAGTATAAAAAAAAAGAAAAAGAATTCCAGTATATATATACACCGCAAATTGTAGATGCTATAACTTCCCAGTAAACCAATTAATTTAAACGTACTGAGTTCATTTTAGCAATGACATACATTTAGCAGAATACATTTTGGCCTAAATTTATGACGAAACTTGATTTTTAAATTCTTTTTTACTGGACATGTTTTATAGCAAAAAGTCAAAAATAATGTTTTTTTTTCAAAATTGTCGGTCTTTTTTTTGTTTATAGCGCAAAAAATAAAAAATGCACAGGTGATCACATACCACCGAAAGAAAGCTCTATTTGTGGGGAAAAAAAAAAAGACATAAATTTCATCTGGGTGCAGTGTTGCATGACCACGCAGTTATCAGTTAAAGTAATGCTGCGTTGTATCGCAATAAATGGCCTGGTCAGGAAGGGGAGTAAATCCTCTGGAGGGCAAGTGGTTAAGTACATGTGTTTGTTGGTATGACTTACATGAGGACCAGATCATATTTTATCGTAAATTACTGCAGAAAAGCAGTTAATTCCAAGTTGTTCACATACTTTTTTATTTGCACACCAGTGGTTGGTTAGAGGGAGGGAGGGGGTTTCTAATATCTTGGGCTATAAGGACAGTGACAGCCTATAGATCAAGGTAGAACCAGGATAAGTGCAAAATAAACAGGGTCATGTTACAGGTAAAGATCAGAGTACCAGATGAGCACCGAAAACAGCCAGCAGCCAAAGTTTAGATGAGCAGCCGAGTGGGTCATGCATAAAAGGAACATAGAATCACGCTTGAATGGAACAGCTTGCAGCACCTAGTGGTGTTCTGGGTGTCCTTAAATGGAAGCAGGCTTTGTTCTTTATTGTAGCTGTTAACATATTTATAAGCTGATGTCCTAGCTTTATTCTAGCAAAAAAAAAAAACTGGGATAAAGCGTGGGAGGCTTAGAACCAATCTCTTTATTATCTGTCTGAATCTCCTTACTTTCTGTCTATTTGATGGGTGCTAGGCACAACAATCCAGGGATCTGTCCTGGCTGTCAAACAGAAATGAAGGAATACCCGAACTCCCTTATGCAGTCACAGACAGCAATAAAAAAAATGTTAAAAAAGTAAGGAAGGAGTAGAACAACTGCAGCCATGTCAACTCACCTTAAAAACCAGCAACTCATCCTAAAAACCAGGAAGTCGCCCTAAAAACCAGGAAGTCGCCCTGATTTTTAACCCTCTCACCCTGTAATCCTGCATGGTGTACAGATCTCTGTTGATACCTTTCATTTTCCCAAAGACCTGACCCAGGCCTTTTTCCTGCATAGTTTTCAGGTTGCAGGACATGCATATTAACTTAAAGTGATTTGAAAGGCTTATTTTTGTTAAGGAAAAAATAACAAACATGTCTATACTTACCTGCTGTGTGCAGTGGATTTGCACAAAGCAGCCAGATCCTCCTCCTCGGGTCCCCTGCAGGCTTTCCTGGCCCCTCCCTCCTGTCTGGTGCCCCCACAGCAAGCAGCTTGCTATGGGGGCACCCACTGCTCCGTGTGTGACTATTCACACACAGAGCAGCGGCTTGGCCCTAGCCCCTCTATCTTCCCATTGGCTCACTGGCTGTGATTGACAGGGGGCTTAGGTGAGTATTAGGGGGGCTGGGGGGGGATATGCTGCACACAGAAAGTTTTTTTACCTTCATGCATAGAATGAATGAAGTTAAAAAACCTTAAGCCTTTAGAACTACA